GTCCATTTTTCAAAATTGAGATTTATGCATGATATGAAAGCTGAATAAATAAGCTTTCCATTGATGTGTGGTTTGTTAGGATAGGACAATATTTGGCCGAGATGCAACTATTTGAAAATCTGGAATCTGAGGGTGCAAAAAAATCTAAATATTGAGAAAATCATCTTTAAAGTTGTTCAAATGAAGTTCTTAGCAATGCATATTACTAATCAAACATTAAGTTTTGATATATTTACGGTAGGAGATTTACTAAATATCTTCAAGGAACATGATCTTTACTTAATATCCTAATGATTTTTGGCATAAAAGAGAAATGTATAATTGTGACCCATACAATGTATTGTTGGCTATTGCTACAAATATCCCCCAGCGACTTAACACTGCTTTTGTGCTGCAACGTCACATGTATGAGTTCTTGAAGGATGATCAATAGCTGTCATGTATGTATTTCTAGCTCCTGAACAGATTCCTTCAATATATGAGTGTTTTTCAAGCTTTAAATAGTTCACTCTGCTCACTGTCGGATTGATAATAGTAGAATAATTTCCTCTTATGTAGATCTATAGTTCTATGTATTAGCCTATATCGATTAGAATATGCTCTCTGCTGTTGAGATGAAGGTGGGGAGCTTTCCTCTTACCTTCATCTTCTGGATGAGGTCGGTGAGGTTCGCGGCCACCTTGCGTGTGTTGTCCACCACTTTCCAGTAGTTTATGTTGGTGGCTCCGCGGTTCCAGTCCACCACGATCACGTTCATGTCGCGGCGCTGCAGGAGGAGCTGCACGAACTGAGTGAGCCAGACGGGAGGCGAGCCGGTGGGCCGGTAGCCGTGGATGAGGAAGGTGCTCGGGGAGCTGAGGTTGAAGCGAGGGTTTCTGAAGGGCTCTCGATGGGACAGCAGCTGAGCGCAGGACACATTGACCCGAGTGTAGAGCAGGAGCCTCACGCTCAGAGACGTCCCAGACAGAGAGTGCTTCAGATCCAGGTCCGTCATCTCCTCACACTCCTGAGCTGCAGGGAGAACACAAACGCAGCTCTTCACTGCTGGCTGCACACATCCCTCAGGTTTATTCACATTCAGTCATTTAGCAGACGCTTTTATCCAAAGCCACTTACAAATGAGGACAACAGAAGCAATCAAAACTAATAAAAGAGCAATGATATGCAAGTGCTATAACAAGTCTCAGTTAGCTTAATGCAGTACACGCAGCAAGGTTTTTAAAAATGATATAATAAATAAAAAGAAAACAGATAGAATAGAGCAAGCTAGTGTTAGAGGTCTTTTTTGCTTTTTGTTAATTGTATAATAAATAAAAAGAAAACAATCAAATAGAATACAAAAAGAATGGAGAAGCTAGTGTTAGTTTAAAAAAAGAAAGAAAGAAAACAAGCAGTTAGTAAATGAATAGAGCGCAAGTCTAAAACTGACAAGTTTTTATTTAAGAATTAAAGAAAGAAGTGCTAGTTACACAGTTTTTGTTTTTGCAGTGCACGCAACATTCACGATAATGTTAAATATGATTCAAAGTAATGCAGCGTTTAATATTGATGCTCTTACAGTGGCTTCTAGGGCTTTTAAAAGAATAAAAGTAAAAAAAGCCGTCTCATGGAGCTGTGGTGGAGGATTTTGTTTCTCGGTGTGCAACTTAAATATAGCTAAGACCAAAGACATGATTATAGACTTTGGAAAGTCTGCTATTTCTGTCTCTACTGTCATTCATGGAAGGGACACTGAGCTTGTGGATGAGGAAAGATATCTGTGTACAGTGATTGATAAAAAAATGACATTTTATTAACCAAGGTTTTTGCTGCAGTTCAACCATACTAATAAGCAAAACCGACTTCAGATAAACATAACACTATTTTTAAATGCTGAAGAGTGTTTTCTTCTCCTGCATCATACTTCTCCTTCTCCTGCTGCGCTCTCTACTGCACAGACGTGAATGCACTTTTCCTTCAGCCCGAGGCTCATTCCTTTCACTTTTGGTGTTAAGGGGCTTTTATATTTGCCAAAAATAGACATTTTTATATTAAAAGCAAACAAGAAAGCCCAGCCCAGATGAGAAAAAGTAACACCAAAGTAACGTAACGCATTACTTTCCATAAAAAGTAACTAACATAATTAGTTACTTTTTTAGGGAGTAATGCAAATAATGCATCACTTTTAAAAGTAACTTTCCCCAACACTGGAAAGCACCTAACATACATTCTATTTACATCTACAGTGGATGAAAATAAGGTGTGTGTGTGTGTGTGTGTTTTGGTGTTTACAGGAAAAGTGGGACTAATGCTACATCTGTGGGGGTTATATTAACATTTCAAGAGAAATTCTACAGTAACACCCAGCATAAACGAGACAGCACCCACCGTGAGTAATACAGAAACTCTAGTTTTCTCACAGCTGACTGTCTCATGTTGTTTCAGGCCGCATGGTTAACCACAATGAATGTAAGCATTTGGAAGAATGTCAGGTGGTTTCTTCTAACTCGTTAACTAAACT